GATCGGACAGACGACAATGAAGGCAGGAAAAGCCATGGAGGAAGGTCCAAAGGCAAGTCGAGTAGACCGGCATTGGGGGGGTTCTTTGCAAAGAAGAAGCTTACCGGCAAATGATCGTCCACCGTGGAATGCTGATGAATGACGTCTTGTCGAAATTTCCCTCTTCCCCCTTTTTTTTTCACACGAGAAATTCCTTTTTTGTGAAGGAAGCGGTGACCGGGTTACGGGTCGATCGCAGAGGGAAAGGAGCGAGGGAGGGAGAGGAAAGGAACAAGAAACAAGAGGAGGGGAGAAAAGAAAAGGGAAGATGAAAGGTAGAAGAGAAGAAAAAGAAGAGAGAAAAAAAAAAGCCGGGAAAAAGATTGAAGCAGAATCAAGCCGCAGCCAGATTTAGATCGACTTGTGGAAAGAGAGGATGAAGCTGGAGGGATGGGGGGGTTTGGAAGACGGAGAGAGGGGAACGACCGAGTAAGCGGATGCCCCAACTGCCATCGACTGACTAGCGCACCTCTGGCCTCGTTCAGGGGGGATTTTTTTTTCCTTCACGGTGGGGATTCTCTCGCCTTCGTGTTTAATTTCACACTTTTCTTCTTTTCCTTTTTTGTCTCGTGTATTATTTGGGATTTTAGATTGTTTTTCTGGATTGTTCCTTGATTGCGATCAGGGAGAGGATTAACGAGGGCGATTCCTCCGGATTAAACCCGACGAAGGAATAGGGGAAAAGGCCACTCAGTCGATCAAAGCGAAGTGGTCGAACTGCTAATTGGATTCCCCACGCGAGGGGTCGGTCTTTTGTTTTTTTTTTTTGGTTATTTTTCTGGAGTTTTTAATTTGATAAGGTTATTTTTTTGGACGACTTTCTTTTCCAAGAGTGGAGGAAAGTGATGAATCTGACCACGAAGAGAATGACAGAAACCAAATGATCAACCCGAAGGAATGATTGAGGGGAGATGAAGGAGAGAGAGAGAGGCAAAAGGAAGATGAAGGAAGAAGGGAGAAAGAAGAGAGAAGAAAGAAGAGTGATGGAAGAGAAGAAGAAGAGAGAGAGAGAGAGAGAAAGAGAGAGATGATGAGGGAGAGGAATCAAGACAAGTAAGGAATAACGGGGATCAATAATAATATAATCAGAGTCAGATAAGTTAACTCAGTCCCTACAAACGATACTGGAACGTTCCTACAGTCTACCTGCTACGACGGTCTACAGTCGATCCCGATGATGCTGAAACGACTCAAGAATTTACTCACCCCAATTCTTCTTTCCTCTTCATCATCATCATTATCCTCACCATCAGATGCCGGGGAAGAGACTAAGCAAAGTTACCAGACTTTGGAGGACCGCAGGGTCTGGTTCGGCCTGCTGTCATGGCGTATTGTATTCCTCTTACCCACCCGATCGCCTGGAGGCAGCAATGAGGTGCATCGTGAATCCTTCTCAGGGTTGGCCATGTAATAGACACGATAACTCAAGTAGTAATTCCGGATTGCCTGGAGTTGAGCGGTCGACGTCAACCCATATGATATCCTGTTTACCTCCCAACAACCTACTTTCCTAGTCGCATAGTGCTATTCCCTACAGGCTACCGTATGCCTGATACGGTACGGGTCCACCGGGTGATGCGCCGGATCCAATAGTTGTCTCGTCTTTGGGTCCTTGCGACTCCACAGAAGCTGTCGGCGGCTTTGCGGGCTTCCGGAGAAGGTCACTTGCCCGGAGGGTAATATCAATTCGAGAGCTATTTCGGAGGTGTGAACGGAGTAGTCAGATCGAAGCCAGGGGATCCCGGGATTGACGGTGACCAGCCCCTCTGCACGGTGGGCGTAGTCTGACAGAGGAAGAAGACTTCAGACGGAGGGAAAGAACGAAGGTTAATCATGACGCAAAGCCGGGCCGACCGAAGGAACGCGCTGGGAACTTGGGAAGTACCCGCGTTTGCACCGTTTGCCGCTTGTTCCAGGCCTGATCCCTGAGGCTGCAGATGGCTGACTCAGCGCCCTTCTCGGTCCGCCCAAGACAGACAAAAAGATCGCGTTCCATTCTTGATAATCGACTGTGACCCTGAATTCCCTTTCACTTGGCCGCTTTGGCTCCGTCCCTCCTTTTATCCTGTATCTGCTGCTGGTAATTCCCGTTCCAATTGATATCGGTCCTTCTGGTCCTTGGTATTTGCCGCCCAACTTCGTCCGACACGATTCTTTCTCGGAAACTACCTCCTTGTCCGGGTCATAGTGATCTCCTTCTGTGTCCCAAGGTTCCCCGAGCTATGAAATTGCTTGTCTTGCAATCATTTGATTAGAACTACTCTTCAAGCGTTCGAACTATCATTACAGCTATTCCGCGATTTATCACTCCCCGACCTTCGAATCTCGCCCAACTTACGACTATTCGCCAATCTAACAAAACCCCCAAATCATATAACATGGGCCGACTAAGCTACCCCTCGCAGCTGGACAGCCCGTCCAAACAGCTAGTATCCGACCTAGCCAAGGATCTAGAGCAATTGCGAGTCCACAACACCGAGCTGAAGAAAGTGAAAGCTTACGAACGTCGGTCATTTTACGAGAACCTCGACCGAGCCGATAGTGAGCTGGAAGCCGTCCACAACGCCGCCCTCGACCAGGTTGCTGCGCGCCATGGTCAGCTCTTAGAGGAGGCCGAAGAGGCCCTGCGCGTGCATCGCCGAGCGGTAGAGGAGGAACGACTTCGAAAGGCGGAGGAGGAGTGCAAGGAAGCAGAGCGAGTGGCGCGGGAGAAGGCCGAGAGAATCCGCCGGGAGCAAGAGGAACTTGCTCGACGCGAGGCCGAACGAAAGGCCCAGGAGGAAGCGAAGAAGAAGGCCGAGGCCGAGGCGGAAAAGAAACGACGCGACGAGCAGGCGGAACGAGAGCGCCAGGAAAAGCAGCGAGTGGAGGAGGAGAATCGCAAGCGTCAGGCGGAGGCCAAGAAGGCCGAGGAAGAAGCCGCTCGAGCCAAAACCGAGGCGGAGCAGATGGCACAGGCGGAACGGAGGACCCAAGGTGCCAATGGCCGGCCCACGCAGGCGGAGGTCAAGGTGCACAACCGCTATGTGGAGCTGCACCAGTATCTCAAGAAGTTCCGGCAGTACATGAGAGACCAGGGCAAAACCAACAACACGGTCAAGCAGAACATGGGAGACATGCGCCGATCCATTAAGAAATGCGTGGGTCAGCTGCGTGAAGGCAAAGGAACCAACAAGAGCCAGCTCCAGGAGATCAAAACAACCCTCGAAAAAGCCGCTTCCATCCCCGAGCCCTCGGTGGACATCCGCCAGTTCCTGGCTTTTCCACCCCCGGAGATCGCCAACTCCGAGAACGAGAAGGTGCCGGCTCTTCTGATCTACTCGCTGAACATGTTTGCGAAAAGTCTGATCGCGTCGCTCCTCAACGAGGCCTCGCTGAACCACGGACACGCGGAGCCGATTGGCATCGTCGCAGCGCAGATCTTCTCGATGGACGCGTTCATCTACAAAGGCTGTCCCATGGTGGACATCCTATGGGCCAAATACCGAGTCGTTTGCCCGGGCTTATGGGGATTCTACGGTCCCGAGAAGACGGAAGGCGGCCGCAAGGCCCTTGGATGGTGGCGAGACGGACCGGGTGGCCCTTATATCAGCGAGCAGATGCACGCAGAGCGAATGACGGCCTTGGGAGCCGGGTTCGCGGCGCTGACCTTGCGTAACTTTGGCAAAACTCCTCGAAAGAACCCATTCCCCAACCACATGTTCTGGAGGGCTGTGCACAAGATTCTGTCCGTTCCGCCGTCCGACATACAAGAGACACACTTGATCCTTCTCTCTGCGATGCTCAAGTCTTCGGCGGAACGGATTATCAGCTTCTTTGGACATGTCGGACTAGCTATGATGCGGAAAGCCATTGTCGAACTACCCTCCGCCGTGCCCCGTCAATCAATGGGCGTGACGCAGCTCAAGCTCCTCAAGGATCTGTACCAGAAGGAAAGGCACATCATCATTTGAGAACCGGGATCTTTGAGCTGTCAGATTTTCTTTTCTTCCTTTAACACCGCCACACAAAAGAAAACATTAGCGCCTGTGGACGGGTAGGTTTCTCAAGTCCATGTGTCAGCACTCCGAAAGCCTAGAGATTATCCTTGCGCTTTTTATGTCTCAGCTACGCCACCAACCGAGTGTTTGATCTTTGCAGGAATTGGACAAACGTGCAGATTGTGGCCGCCTGCCGTGCAGTTTACCTGTATAAACAGCAAGGAGCCTATAGGAGGCTGTTGGGTTGGCTTCGACAGTTCCTGCAGATCGCCCGAAACGTGGTCCGCTATGATGGAATCGACAGAGGTATCTCGACGTTATACAGCATGGAGCTGCATCAAATGAGTCATCGGATTTGTTGTCACGCAGCCAGTTGCTTAGATTAGGTAGACATGTCGACCTGACAGAGTCTTTCGACCGACATCTATCACAACACCCACTACAACTACAAGTGCAAGTGCAAGTACAACTATAACTACAATCACAGCCACCACAAACAGCAAAAAGAATACCCAAAACAAAGATGGACAAGAATAAAGTTCTGACTGGTTTTCGACCCACGGTCCATGGTTCGTGCAAGGGAGGAAATCTTGCCAAGTCGACGAGTCGCAAATGAGGGCTTATGCAAGAGATCATGCAGGACGAGGTCCAAGGGATTACACATAAGTTGCATATGTTGGACGTGGAACCAGTCCAATTTTTTCCAGGGATTTTCCATTTCAATCCTCCTCCCCATGGGGTAGTGAGTAAACTTTATAATGTTGGGTCTTCGCTAGAAATCAATCAACTTTAGACAAACCATTCAACTGCAATTCTTTCTACCTAATCTGTTCTGCTTTATACCAAGACTCGGCGTGAATATACTTGTCTACTAAATTTTCATTAACCACCACCAGGATTACCACCACGACTACCATAGCCACCAACATCCTCCCCAACATCACGCACTTGAAATAAAATAAGAAAAAGATCAACTAAACCATGGCCTCCGCCTCCACCCTCCCCACTGAACTCATCCAATCCATCCTCCTCCAAACCGATCCCGAAACATACCTCTCCGCCCACCAAACATGTCGTTCCTGGCGCCGCGCCTCCTCAAGCCCATACATGCTGCGTCACACTCTCCAACAGATCCCTGCGTCCTTGGTTCCTCCCCTCTATTCACCATCTCCTCCTCCTATTCCACAGACGAAAGCGAAGACGAAGACAGACACCCTAACGCCAGAGCAATGGACCGCGTATTTCGCACAAACCGCACGTCTGAATCTCCTTAGCCGGCGACGTCATGTTCGGAAGTCTGTTTGTAAGGTCCGGGATCTGTGCCATGAAGAAGACGAGTCGCAGCCGTTGCGTCCTTCATTGTCGAGTATCGTGCAGAGTCGATCAGAAGATGGAGAGCCGGCCGTGGTGTTGAGGGGAGCGAAGATGCTTGTTTTCAGGGCGAGGGTGAGAGATGCTGAGTCCGGAGCTGAGAGAGGAAATGAAGACGGGCGTGAAGGTCAAGATGAGTATGAAGATGAATATGAAGATGAGGTCGAAGATGAGATCGAAGATGACACCGAGTTCACCCTCTCGCAAGAATTTCCCCTCGCATCATCCCTCTATCCGCAATGGACGTCTATCTGTCGCGCGCTCATGGACCAGAGTATCAATCCTAGCTGGTCGGGGAATCATGGGTACTCGAAACATCGCGTGGCGGTGTCTTCGCGGGGAGAGTTTGTGGCTGTGGCGCTGGGGAGGGTGATTCAGGTCTATGGACTGGGTTCATCTCCCCCTCATTCATCTCGAGGTCAAGATCACGATCAAAATCCCAGTCGAAGTCAAGAACAAAAAGTTATCCACACCCCCGAGAATACACACCAGACACCAGCCGAGTACGTCCTCGGCCAAGACACCGAGCATATCGCCTTCGCGCGGGTGTCAGACCCCAGGGCCTACGAAGACACAGACGGGATAGTCGAGGGCATCGAGTTCGTCGACAACGACACGCTGCTGCGCGTGGCGATCGGGAAGGAATCGACGATTCATCGACCGACTCGCGTGCGGTATCTAGGTTGTCCGGATGCAGTGACAGACGGACCGGATCTGAACTATTGGCGAGATGCTATCAAGAAGGTATATTTGGATTCCGCGGCGCTGGGGGTTTTGTTCATGAGAGGAGGAGGAGGAGGAGCGAGGTGCGATCTGCGAGGATTGCGGCTGTTGGGGAAAGAAGTGGTGGATGTGAGGGGTCAGTGGGATGACACTCATTCCCATCTCCATTCCCATTCAAGTTCACCTTCAACTCCATCCTCAACAACTACAAACCAACAAGACCATCGATACTTCGTCGCCTCCATCCAAACCGGCACCACAGACACCTACTGCATTGGTCGAGCCACGACCACATCCTCATCCCCAGTCTCCATGCACCTACTCCGCCTCCTCCCATCCATCTACTCCCGCCCAAGCAGCATCATCCCCATGACCCCCCAAACCAAAGACTATCCATGTCTATACGCCTATCCGCATCGACCAGACACCACCCAAGCTCAATCCCAGACACACTCTCACTCTCACCCCCAATCCCAACCCCCCTCCCCACCCCCCAGAGGAATAACCAAACGAATAACCCACAGCTATAATCTCCAAACCACCCTACCCCGATTCACATCGACGAACCTCCCCTCCGGAACATTCTCATCGCCACACGTCGCCGTGTCCGACGACGCTCAGATCATGGTGATCTACGAGCCGGATCACGCGTGCTGTGTTGTTGAGGGAGGGGCGCTGTATGTGTGTTACGTGGGGATTTGTAGGAGTGTTTATCAGCCTGGGGTTGGGGTTGAGGGTCTTGATGGGGAAGTCAATCTCAACTCTGGTTCTGGCTCTAGCTTGAATGCAGAGGGCGGAGAAGAGGGACAAGAAGGACGAGGAGGGGAGAAACAGCCCTACCCTCGTCGGGATATCATCCCTACGTGGCCGTTCCTGTTAGATAGAGTGAGTGTAGATATAGAGAGTTTGAAGGTAAAGACGGTGAGAAGAGGGAATTCGTCTAAGTACAAAGTTACGGGGATTGCAGGGGATGAGGAGATCGAGTGGTTGTTTTAGATGTTGATATCTATTTGTGGTTGGGATTCTGGAGAGGTGAACTAATATGAAAAAAGGAGAGAGAAAAAAAAAAAAAAAAAAAAAAAATTAAAAAAGAAAAAGAAAAGAAAAAGGAAGAAAAGCCGAAGAAAAGAAAAGGTGAAGGGGAGGGAAGGCTTGAAATAGAAAAGAATTAGAGACTTAGACTATGGTAGTGATTTCATGTTCAGAATGGCAGCAATGTGATTTGTGTCTTGCATATTTCTCTTGCAACTATGTCGCCTAAGCTTGATATATTTACACTTCATGGAGCAAGGTTTATCTTCGAATTGGGATCTGAGTAGTGAGCAAGAGATTCAGAAATCAGAACATGTCAAGCAGAAATAATTAATGTAACCCACTCAGGCAAAGCTTCGAAACATATCATCAGCAAGAATCGATACAAACAAAGTTAACCCTATAAATAGAGCAAAATCAAATAAAATATTAGTTTACGTCCAATTCAAAAAAAGTAATAAGGGTATCTACACAACACCACTGGCCTTAAAAGAAGAAAAAAGAAATCCAATGGCAGAAAAGAAAGAAAGAAAAAGCCCTGGGGTATGAAAATAGACGTTGAAAGTGGACATTTCGCAGAGCAAAATTAAAAAATAGAATATCAATGACACGAAGGAAAAAAAAGTAGAAAATTAAATAAAATAAAAAGAGTGACAAGTCAAATCAGATATTTAACGCAAGAGTTTGTACAAAGATCGCGATAAGACAATAGCTGGTATTGGTATCAGATGGGAGAATCAAGGGCAAATAGAAAAAAAAAGTCAAATCAGAAAAGCGATCCCACTATCACATACAAGAAAAAGTAGAAGAAATAACTGAACAGTGCATCTGAACGAAGGAAATACCAATTGAAACTATGTCGGATTAAAAGAGGGCAGTAGGAAGCTGAAGGGGGGGGGGGGGGGAACAACAACGTAAGTCACAGTCAAAACGATTCAGTCTCAAAAAAAATTTCAAATGCTAAGGTATCTGCTGAGATAGAAAGAAAAGAAAAGGTAGGGAACAAGAATCCCGTCTATGTTGTTATTTGCGGTCCAAATGGTCCGTCATTGGTATCCCGTGGAGACGCAGAGACCAATCCGTCGGCCGTACTTTCATTTTCTTCTTCCGGGGAACCCGGAGAACTCTCTCCGTAGGCCTGTCCGTAGGTCTCTTCGTAGTCGGTTGTTGGCTCTGCGTCACGGTCATAGCTGGACCCCCGGAGAAGAGGGGGAGTGGTTGGAGGCTCGCGCATCTTGCCCGCGGCCCGCGAGGACAGCGGTCGAGGTGTACTGTTGACGCTCCTTAGCGGGCGACTCTCCGACGACCGTCTCGCGCCTGATGCGGATGCCCGGGCATTGATTACCGCCTGTCGATTGGAGCTAGGCGGCGTCAGGAGACCAGATAGGAAAGTAGTGGCGTGGCCTGGCTTGGAAGGAGTCTGGTTCGAAGTGTTGGCGTTTGTTCCCTCCCGGCCCTTGCGCCAGTTACCCCATGCTGCAGCCGCGGCGAGCGGGAGTGCTCGAGGGGATGCCCGGATCTCAGACAGCGACGGAATGCTTGGGAGACCCTGTCCTCCAGACGCGACCCTTTCCTTCTCCTGTTGCTGCATCTGCAGATTGGCTTTCAGACGGATAGCAGCGTCACGGACAGCGTTGTGGTCAAACGAGGGCTGCGACACAGTGGTGACAATATCCTGTAGATCGTCGATTCGGACTCCCAATAGCTCACGGAGCCAGTTAATCTCCGTATCCTTCTCTTTGAGCTTGTTGGGAGCATCCTTATCCACGGATGCGACTTCTTGTTCGAGCTCTTCAATACGAGTCTCACGCTGCTGCAACTGGTCCTGGAGTACGAGAATGGACTCGCGCAGCGCCTGGGGAGAAATCTTTTCAGGAACCATGGATCCATTGAACGACATCGAGGGGGTGTTGACGGGCATGATGGGAGGAGGCGTGGAAGTCGACCCTCCTGCCTTGGCCATCTGGGCAGCCTCCGCAGCGGCCCGAGCAGCAGACTGAGCGATTTCGAGTCTGTCCTCCAGGTGCTGCACACGATCCTGCAGATGGTGAACCTTGTCATCTGACAATGCCAACTTGTCCATCAGGTGAGTCTCGGCACGCTGTCGATCCTCGGACGAGTTGTGCAAGGCACGAGCATGGCGCTCCCGGAGGTCATTGAGGACGCGCTCGTGCATACTCCGTTGTTCTTCCACGGCCATCTCCCGCGATTCCGCAGCCGCAGCTAAGGCGCTGGCCTTGGTCTCGGTGGCTTCCTCGAGCAGCATCTCGTAGCGTTCACGCTCAGTGTCATTGTTAAGGCGAACGTTATCCATCTGACTCTGCAGGCGGAGAATCTGGGCCTCCAACTCGGCACGCACGATGTTAACTTGGCTATTGGCGGCCTCGACATCGGCCTCCATCGAGGTTCGGGTCCTTTGGATCTCCACACGGCTGCTCTCGCGGGCTTCGTTGAATTCACGCTCGAAACGGGCCGCCTTGAGTTCCATGTCGTGGGTTTCGACCCGCAGGTTGGCCACCAGCTCTTCCAGCCTGGCGTTCTCCTGCTGGGATTGCCCGAAGATGAACTTGAGTTTGGCGGCTTCTCGCTCCTGCTGCTCGAGTTCGCTGATATCAACCTCGAGCTTTTCACGCAGCTTCTGCTCTCGGCTGTAAGCCGCCTTGAGTTCGTTATACCGAGCCACGTGCTCTTCTTCCCGCCTGCGCCAGATGGCCTGCTCGCGGGTAATATCCCCGGAGGCCGTGGCCATTTCATCCTGAAGGCGATCCAGTTTCTCACTGAGGTTGTGTCGGATGCTCATGCCGTCTTCAATGCGCGTCTTGAGATGATCGATGGAGCTACGCAGGCCCTTGTTCTCCTGCTTGACTTCCTCAAGTTCTCCCTTCGACCGCTCGCTGTCACGCTTCCAGTTGTCGCTAGAGACACGGTATTCATCCAAGTGGCCTTCGAGTTCAATGTTCTTCGAGGAAATTTCAGCCAGGGTAAGCTTGAGCTTGGCATGCTCCTGCTCCAAGGAATCGGCTCTGAATTGGACCTGCTCAAAGTAAGGGATCTTCTCTTCCTTGAACTGGAGGAAGCGAGCCTCGGCAGACTCCGCGGCTTCACTGTGGCGAGCGGCATCGTCTTCAACGTCCTTGAGCAGTCGCTGGAGCTCTGCCATGGAATCCTGTGCTTCTCTGCGCAATTTGTACTCCTGTTCTGCTCTCTCGTCGGTCATTCTCAGCATGTTCTTCAGGCCGTCAATCTGGAGCATCAGACTGTCGGCACCAATCTCGTCCGCATCGGACGGGCGAGCATTCTGGATACTGAACTGATTGGCGACTACTTCCTGGAGCATCTCCCGCAAGCCGGCGGTGGGGTCATGAGCCAATTTCTCTTCGGTCATGGCTTGTAATTCGGCGACGCTATCCCGGAGTTGCACTAGCTCGGTGTTTTCGGGTTTCTCCGCGGGCTCCTGCGTGTCACGCTGGGCCAGCACTTCCAGGATGACATTCTTCAGCCGATCAAGCTTCCGGTCTCTCGGTGGGGACCGGGCTCGCTGAGAGTCATTTTCATAATACTCGTCCTCGTCGTCTGCATCGCTCTCCGCCTCAGCAGATGTGCTGGTCCAGGCCAATTTGTTCTGCGTTGACAGGGTGATCGCCGAGACCGACTGCTGAATGGCGCTCAGAGCACGCTCCAGAGGGGACAGACGATCGTCGACCACAGAGCCGACGAGGTCATTGATCCGACGGTCAAAGAACTTGCTTCGGTGCACCAGCTTGTCTTCCTCGCCGGACGTGATAACATCGTCCCAGTCGCTGATCTGGTCATTTTGGTTGATGAGTTTCCGGATGGGCGACGGCATTCCGGACGCAAAGCCCTTGGAAGGAGTAGCCGCGAAGTGGGACTGGGCATCGAAATCTAGTTTCGGAACATCCAACGCGTGCGAGACATGTCCCCGGCCGGGACTGGGGCTGGGCGGGTCACTTCTGATGTCTGCGGGACCGTGTCGCTTTTCTTTCGACGGCCCTGCCACTGCGGTCTGGGGCATGCGATTGGCAGCAGACTGGGGCGTGTTGACCCTCTCGATTCCAACGTCGGATTCGTTGAGTTTTGCCATAATAGCGTTGAGCTCATCCGCGTCAAGCGAGTCTCCGTCAGAGTCAGACTTGGCAACCTGTTCCGGCTTCCCTGGCTGCTCTGGCTGTTCTGGCTGCTCTGGCTGTTCTGGCTGTTCTGGCTGCTCTGGCTGTTCTGGCTGTTCTGGCTGTTCTGGCTGTTCTGGCTGTTCTGGCTGTTCTGGCTGTTCTGGCTGTTCTGG